ACCTTCCACCACGCTACTGAGCGTGCGTGGTGGAAGTGGTGATCTCACACGAATTGGCCAAGGGTGTGTGTGTGTGTTCGCATCACCTTTGCACCGATAAACAAGCCGTTTGAGGATCGTTTTCAGTGCGGAAAAGTGCACAAGCTGTAGCGTATCAAGGCCATCATTCCGCACCCAAGCGTTTCTCATTTCGTGCCCGCGTCGCTGCGTTCGGTGCCGATATGTACTCTATTCACAATCCGTTTCATCGATAACTGCGCCAATTGGCGACGTTCTGCAAAAAAAACGAGTGCCCAAGCCTACTCCTAATAGGTGAACACTTCTCGCGTCGTTGTTTCCTTGCACCAACCCCTAAGTCACTCGTTCACACCCGGTTTGTCCTCTCTTTGCGGCGTCCTTCAACTGTCATTTGGGACACGTGTGTGTCGGTTTGGTTCTTCTGCTACGTGTGTGTCGGTCGGTTTGGTTCTGCTGCTGCTGTGTTCTTTTTTTGACCTCGTCCACACCGAGTGGCCAACTTTGGCACGTGTTCAGACCAGCTACCACGCATCCCCTCCTCTACAGCTCGCGGCTTTCACTATCTGCATATCACAGAGGGTGTTCGCGTGTGGTTTGCAGACCACGACAGGGCGTAGTGAGGAGGGGCTCGCGATCGGCGACAACTCGCGTGCTAGTTCACATATTCTGCTGCTGCTGTGTTTTGAGTGGTGGGGCATTTTTTTCTACTTCTTCATTTATTAACGCATACGGAGTGCTGACAACAACGAACGATTCGCATCTACAACATCGCATCAACAACATTTCGGGTGTGTGTACCAAAACAAAAGCAAAACATATTCATGGGGGGCGCACGACCCAGCCTACTGCAGGTACTTTCCGCAGCACGGGTTATGCTGTTGTGATGGTGCGCGCGGAAAAAACTCCCCCCACTCGGGGTCTAGTATGGTCATATACACTACAACATATCATATGCTGTGTTGCCTCAGTAACCTGGCTTCGCCATCAAAGGAGGAGGGAGCAGNACGATTCGCATCTACAACATCGCATCAACAACATTTCGGGTGTGTGTACCAAAACAAAAGCAACACA